AAAGGGGTGGCTATACACACCCATCTGGATCCAAGCTATGCCTGCCTCTTTGTAGGATAGGTGGAACAGTGTCCCTGTAGCTGTTACATCAGCACTTTCCCTCACCTCTTCCTCCTCTACGTCGATGACTGTATTGCTGCTGCCTCGTGCTCCCATGAAGAGCTTGAACAGTTCATCAACTTTACTAACACCTTTCACCCAACCTCAAATTCACCTGGACCAGCTCCGATACCACCCTCCCCTTCCTGGACGTCTCTATCTCCATATCCGTCTCAGCACAGACATCTACTTCAAACCAACCGACTCCCACAGCTGCCTTGATAACACCTCCTCTCATCCACCCTCCTGCAAGAACGCGATCCCTTACTCCCAATTCCTCCACAGCATCTGCTCCCAAGATGGCGTGATCCACTCCTGGACATTCCAGCTGTCCTCCTCCTTCAAGGACTGCAACTTACCCCCTCCAGTGATTGAAAATGCCCTCAATCGCATTTCTTGCATTTCCTGCACTTCTGCCCTCAAACCCCCTCCCCCCAACAAAAATAAAGACAGAGACTCCTGGTCCTCACATACCACCCCAACAATCTCCGCATCCAGCGCATCATCCTCCACCACTTCCACCACCTACCATCCAACCCACAAACAAAGAGATATTTCCCTCCCCACCCCTACCTGCCTTTCGTAGGGACTGCTCACTCCGCGACTCCCTCGTCCGCTCCACACTCCCCACCAACCCCACCACACCTGGCACCTTTCCCTGCAACTGCAGGAGGTGCTACACATGCCCCTACACCTCCCCCCATCACTTCCATCCGAGGCCCAAGACAAACTTTCCATTTCTGACAGGGGTTTATCTGTATGTACATCCTCCAACCTGGTCTACTGTATCCATTTCTCCCAACGTGACCTCCTTTACATCGGTGAGACCACACGTAGACCCAATGACAGATTTGTGGAGCACCTGCGCTCTGTATGCTATAATCAACAACAGTTTCCCGTTGCTAACCATTTTAACTCCCCCTCCCATTCCCTCGGTGACATGTCCATCCTGGGCCTCCTCCACAATGACGCCACAGGCAAACTGGTGGAAAAACACCTAATATTTTGCCTTGGGAACGTACAGCCTGATGACTTAAACATCGAATTCACCAGTTTCAAAATCTCCTCCCCTTTCAGCCTCATGCCATGTTGGACCTTCCTTCTCATCCCTGTCTCCTTGACCTGACACTACCTGTCCATCTTCCCACATATCTGCCCCATCCTTCCCACTGACCAATCTCCACTAACCCTACCTGCATCCACCTATTGCCATCCTACCTACTTTCCCCCAGCCCCACACCTCTTCCCTCTATTTATTTCCTAGCTGCCTTCTCCCTCCCCAGTCCTGATGAAGGGTCTAGACCCGAAATATCGACTCCTGCTCTTTTGATGCTGCCTGACCTGCTGTGTTCCTCCAGCTCCACACTATATTGACTCTGAATCCAGCATCTGCAGTTCTTGCTATCTCCCACCATCAATCTTTGTCTTCTCTGCCTTCACTTCCAGGAATTGCATGTACTGTCTTGTATTTTGTCACTTTCTTGATTTTTGAAAATAAAATCTCTTCCTTTATGCTTTCTATTGTCTCTCTGCTCTCCACGCTATTCTCTCTCTTTTGTGTCTTTTTCCAAAGTCTGCTCCAAGCTCAATGTCTACTGCACAAAAACAAAGTTGCTGGAAAAGCTTCCTCAGTTCTGAGGAAGGGTCACCGTTCCCAAAACATTAACTCTGTCTTTTCCTTCACAGATGCTGCCAGACCTGCTGAGCTTTTCCAGCAACTTTGTTTTTGTTCCTGATTTACAGCATCCGCAGTTCTTTCGGTTTCAATGTCTACTGCACTAGCTGAAGTAGTAGTTTTTACACCTGACACTATTATTAAAACTCCAATCTCTTTCATAAAAGTTTGCAGTTTCAACGTCTTCTGTGCCAGGACCTCCTGAACTGTTCCTTTTTTCCCTCGGGTGTAGATCATTCTTGACATTTCCATTCTCATATAAGTTACCTTTCAACTTCAAGATGCACAGTAGAAATTCACCAAAGATCCCTAAACAGCACCTTCTAAGCCCACAGCCAGTTCCATGTAGAAGAGCTATCAACAGATATGTGGGAATACTACAACCTGCAAGCTCCCCTCCAAGTCACTCACCATCCTGATGGAAATTATTGCCATTCCTTCAGTGTAGCTGGGTCAAAATCCTGGAACTGCATCCCTAACAGTGTTATTAGTCTATCTACAACACGTAGACTGAGGTGGTTTAAGAAGGCAATTCACCATCGCCTTTTGTATGGAGACAGGCAAAAAATGCTGGCCAACCAGTGATACCCACATCGTACGAGTGAATAAAATAAAACTTCAATCCCAACTCATTTCGTTATGCACCAGCTTCAGCATTGACAGCTCCTCTTCCTCTCCTCTCTCTTGTCTTTGGCAACCTGGTCCATATTCCTACCATTTCAACTCTAACTTGTTGCTTCTCCATGCAACCAAATCAGATACAGTACTTGACTGCTTACGTTCCCTGTTGTTTTGAGGAGGTGTTGGCATTTTGGACGTGAATCATTTGGAAGCTTGTGCTTCTGTGCACCATCTTTATTTATTTGTTTCACTTTTTTAGAGCTGGTGGGTCTCACATTAGCTTTCAGTTTAAAACCCAATTTCTTCAAGTTTTCTCTTTTCCATTATCCATTTTTCTCACTCTTTCTTAGTCCTTCCACTTATTTTACTAATGGCACAGCCTTTTCCTTTGAATTCTTAAACATTTTCAGTCACATATCAGAAATTCTGTCATATATGCTAGCAAATGTTGCACTAAATTCCAAGTTTCATTTTTATTTGCTTTTACTCCACAACTGCTGTTTTTTAGGTCCATGGTTCATTCTTGAAATGTTAATTACTCTGTTCTTGCCCCATATCTTGACTGATGTGATGTGTGCTTCAAGTCTTTTTCTTGTTTTTTATTTTTGTTAATTAAGTTGTGATTGGCAGTTGTGTTTTACATTTTGCAATCTGTTTTTAGACTAAGTCGTCTGCTTTATAAACATAAATTTGAGGAAGCAGAGAGATTTGCTATTCAATTTGCTTTGGATGTTGAGGTAGGTTTCTTCCAATATGGATGCCAAGTATAATATAAGCTTAACTGAATTTCTGCTGCAAATGATACCCTGTCCACTAACTGAGGTCAAACACAAATAATGGACATTTGGATCAATCAAGCCTATTGTCATCCATGGGCCATATCCCTACTTGAGATAAGAAAAGGAAATGATTAAATAAAAGCAAAATACTACAGATTCTAGAAAGCTGAAATAAAAAACAAAATGCTGGAGAAATTGGTCTGTGTGACGAGAAACAAAACTGAAGTTCTGAAGAAGAGTCACATTAGACTTGGAACATTAACTCTGTTTCTGTTTGTGCAGATGCAGTCAGAAAAAAATAAATAGTTGCTTGGTAATATAGAACTTGAATGTTGCTAACAAAAAAAATATTGCTGAAGCTTTTCATCTTACACTCCTCAGAACAAATGCAAGAATACCAAACTTTGCATGAATACAACAATTTGCACTATAGGAAAATTGGATTCTTACTGGTGGGAAATCACCTATGATTGATTGTCAGAGAGGTTCTCATGCAGAAAGCAACGTGGAACTTGATGCTATTAAGTCAACCTTGTAATACACTGAGCTCCATAAACCCCAATGTGAATATTGACATGTGAAAGTAGGCATGCACAGACAGTAACAGAAAAACCATTAGCAGATTTCTCAATGCACATCTCAAGGAAAGAGGTAGACTGCAAAATCTCAAAAGTGAATTTGGGAATGACAGAGTGCATTAATGTGTGTAAGACAATCTATAGGTACTGTAAGGATCCTTACAGGTACTTACAGAAAGATGCTGAAAGTATCATCTGTACATTGGAGGTATGCATGGGACAGGAAGTAAGGTACCAGTTTGTGAAAACATGTTTCTCAAGAAAATTAAGGAAACACATAGTAAGTGCTGGACCTTCTATGGCTGCATCATTTTTTTCAGCTTACATGGTGTCAATTAAATTGAACTTCACTTGCAAGTTGCCAGCCTCTAAGATCTCTATGGTGTAGTGACACAGCCAAATGTCAATGGCTTCATTCAGTGGCATGTTTGTAAATAAGCTTGTTGAGAAGTCTGCTGTTGTTTTCTTCACTACTGTCTACGGCAAGCCTCCTTTACCAGTCAGCGTACTCGTCAGGGTTCTTGTAGCTTCATGTGTTTTAAGACTTGTTCACATTCTTTTAAATCAGGTCTTAGCTGTGTGCTAACTTTGTAAGCTCAATGCATAAATAGAGTGCATGAAAGATATCCAAGAGGACAATGAGCGGATCGTTGTTCATCGTGATTGTGCAGGCTCGCTAAAGGCTGTCACGTTTAGACCTGAAAAGTGCTCAGCCCACTTCAAATTACTCTGAAAAGGTTAAAATATCTTAACATTTGAACAATATATTAAGCCACCAGTTTCATATTCTTATTGTGTGCTTGAATCATCAAGTGGTATTTTTCACTGACAGTTTGCTACCATCAGTCCAAACATCTACCCGACAATTGAGCAATGTTGTTGTTCAATGCCAATGTGGATAATGTAGTTATGTAGATAATGTAATCATTGGCTGATAGAATCATACAACACATTCCTCCAGCTGTTAGTAGTAGGCAGATTATTGACTGGTTTCAGCCTGTGCTTGCAAAACCCAGAACAAAATACCTACTATTAGATGTGGTTCCATGATAAGGCAACAATTGTTGAACAATCCTGTATGTGTTAATAATAATGTTAACAACCAATTTGAAATAATCAGTGACGATCATAGCATGGCTCATTTATGCTTTCTGATGTGACATATATTCATACACAGGGACCAGTTCTTTGTAAATCAAAGGAATTTGACTGAGTGTTGTGACTTTTTAGAATTACACAAGGCACAACAGCTTATAGTTCTCTTTCTCATTCTTCATGGCAATTCCTTGACAATCAGAGTTGACCTGCCAACCAATCAGTATCCTTTTCTCCTGTCAAATAAATTGCTATGATTATTTGAAATATGCCATTCTTGTAGCTGTCTTGATGAGTTCAAGACAAAACACATGGCAATATGTCTCTGTTAAGAGCAAAAAATAAAATGGAATAATGTGTGCAATATCTATGAATTGAAAGTAAAATCTAATGAAATGTTGAAGTGGCCACTTATTCACACAGTTTATGTAGCTGTTATCTTTCCATTCCTACCATTCATATGCTTTCAGTTTTGCATTGTGTATGAGAAAAATACAGTTCCTCAAATGTATGACATGTGAGCATTTGTATATATTGCTAATAATTTTAACAAGTCAATCCTGCTTTAAAGTATTGATTTCTGGTCTAGCAAAACATGACACTTACACTGACTTGCACTTTTGTTAATAAATGTTAATAAACTTCTTTCAGCTTGTGTACAAAGTCAGGCTTAATATAGCTTTGGAGAACCTAGCCTCAAGTTCCTTAGAAGCTCCCAATCTATCAACATGGCAAAACACTGTCGATGAAGCAAAAGCAGACTTGCACAAAGTACAGGTATATAAGTTTAAAAGCTGCTGAGTGAAGTTATATTATATTTGTGCCTTTTCTGACTATCTTAAATTTATTTCCTTTCCCAACACAGGATGATGAGTTTGTAGTGAAATATTGTCTGGATGTTCCTTGGCCAACTTTTGAACTGACTTTGGAAATGTTAAATTATGCCAAAAAGCGGGTGAGTTTTGTTTCATGGCTCTTGTTTTATTGCACTACCGAGACATGTTGTTTAACTGAGAATCTTTTTGCAGATTCTAAAGAAAGAAGATAAGAAGTCTGTTGGTTTGACTGAGAAGCAAGCTTTGTGGCTTGTAGAGGTATTGGTAATAAGACATTTCTATTGATTCCTTCATATTGATTTGGGAACATGTTACAGATCGTTTTGAAATTATTTTATCCATTGGATTAGGTATTGAGAGCAGAAGCACGGCTCACTACATTTCATGAAGCATATGGGCCTGGAAAATTCAGGTTAGTCATTTTGCCACTGTAGTTCTCTTCTCAACAAAGAAAACTTGAGTTTATGTTTTACCTTTTTAATTGAAAGACAGTTCAACGCACTTTAGAGATAATAAGAAGAATATCACAGTGGGAGAATTTGTAAAAAAATAAAAAAATTGATTGAAGAAATGGATTTTAAATGTTCTGAAGAAGTACAGAAAGAAGATGAGGAGAGTTCCAGTGGATAGGCTGAGAGGGTTGAATTATGTGGACGTTACAATTCAGAAATTGACCATTCAGCCCATTAAAACTGTTTTGGTATTTGCCTTCTATGTATATAAATATTATAAATTAATTTGTTCATTGGAGTGCAAGGGAGATATGCCCATCCCTAATTGCATGTTTGAGTCTGGAAGACAATCAGTTGGTTCAAACGGGATTTTAGAAGAATATTGGAATAAAATCAGGCTACGTCTGTGGAAAAAACAGAGGTAATGTTTCAGCCAGTGATGTTTCATCAGGCAGTTCTGATGAAATGCCCAACTATTTTTAGTTTTATTTTAGATTTCTACTGTCCGCAGTTTTTTTTATAGATATGTGTTAGAAGGGAGAAGAGGCAAAATGGCAGCATGTAGCAAAAGTTTGTTGGTGGACAGGGAACAGGATTAATGGTTCATAATTTTGAATGGTGAACTCTTGGATTAGATGTAATTCGGAGTTTGTTTGTGCCTGCAACATGACTAATGCTTGATTTGTTTTTCTTTCACAGTGGTATTGCTTGGATCAAGTTTGTAAACAATGAAGAACTTTTTAATGATGTTCTGTTGCAGCTTCAGGAGGGAAATCTGAAATGTGCAGAGTACATTTGGTTAAGGCACCAGGTGATATTGGCTAAACGTTGTGTTGGCCTTGTGTGTTGAAAGATGCTTTCCATTGCAGTGTACTACATGATGATTTATGTTCATATCCTACTTACTAAATTGGTGACCTGCAGGCTGATTTGTCTTATGACATTTAAATTTGAAATGCAACCACAGATGCCTTGCCTTCTGTTCCTTCTGCGTGTTAGTTTGAAGCTATCAATTGTTCAGTAGCATTATTTTCACTTTCCAAGGGACTAGACAGCTGGATGGCATGAAATCTTGATTTCACCTACTGACTGGAATGTGGTAATAAAATAATAATCTTAAAGGACTTTTAATTCTAGTAATGAGAGTTCAAATCTCAGTCTGATCAATTGAATTCAGTTTAGCTTTTTTTAAAATCTGGAATTAAAAATGCTAGTACCAGTTAAAGTAACCACAGAGCTTTTGGATTGTTTGAGGGCAGTGTTGTCTAGTAGAAAGCTCACTAATCACAGACGTGGCTCCAATGACAAGTTTTTAAACTTCTGCACTAATTTTAGTGCATTAGGTTACTGTAACTAGCTTACTATACATGCAAACTTATTTTGTGTATATTTACTCATATAGATACTTTCATTACTTAATCCAGTTTCTCGTTGAACAAAGTTTTAATTTTGGTATGAATCTGTCACATACTGCATTTCTTACTGCAGCCACTTTGTTTTTGTCCACCAGTTGAGTGGCGCCTTAACTTCATCAAACTGATTGCTTAGAATGCACAATCCTGGCTCTCACAACAAAACATTCAAATTAGCCTGTAATGTCCATCTAGAATAAGGCTGGGAGCTGGCTTACTCTTTGCTGTAACATGCTTTGTTAGAGCTGTTCCTTATTGGTTTGCTTTCTTCTGCTGGCCTGCATTGGCTATTTGGTTGAGTTAACTACATTGCTTCTTGCTCAAGACAACATTACTTATATTTTTAGGTAGAACAGCCATGCTACATCTGTTGCATATATTTTTTAAATTAAATATTCAGGAAAAAAGGAAGTATATTGCATGCAACAATCAGGATTTTAAAGATGAGTTAGTTATAAGTCAGGCTTAACATATCTTCTGTGTTGTTTTAGTCACACTGGAATGATTTTGTTGAATTTTATGGTTTGAACAGTAAGAGTTTTGCTCTTAAGACCATTTTTCAATTTCAGGTGGAGTTTGAAAACAAATTTGATTTGAAAAGACTACAGAATTTCCTAGATTCTCTCCCTGCAAGCCTCCCTTCACAAGAACTAAGTCTCTGGTTCAGAAATGTGATAATTCCCTTTGTCTTGAGGATTGTTCCTGAGGGAAAGGTAATGATGGATAGTAGTTGTGATAAAGAAATGCTATTTCTTTTCGCTTTGCACCGAGTGTAACATTTTTGTTTCCTTCAACTTCTGCAGAAAATTCTGGCAAAATGGTTGGAGCACAGAGCCCGGAGTCTTGAACTAACTGAGAAGGTAATTATTGCAACAGTTTGGATGGATTCACTTACGCACCCTGAGGATGAAACCAGATCGACAGTCTTTTCATTAACAATTTTTAAAAATCATTTCAATGATATCCTTAAATATCAAAAGTAAAAGTTACAAAATATTTTTTCAAATTGAAACCTAACTATCATTAAAGCAAGGACTGAGTGCTTTATTATCTGAAACAAAAAGTTATGAAAAACAACTAACTATTCCATGTTTCATCTAAATAAAGAGCATAAGATTCCACATATGTGCTCACAACACCCAGTTTTACCTCAACTAAGTTCCCTCTGATTTGATATATTGCTTATCCAATGTGAGCATTGGAATTTTCTGAAATTAAATACTGGGAAGCCTGGAGTCTCACAATACTTTCTGTCCCATCCCACTCTTTGAGGCTGAGCCAGACACAACCATGGTGTGCTATGTCTGAGCTGAATTACTTTATATCCTCTATTGCTAGGAGCACCTGCTTCCACTTTGGTGATTGCCTGTCTTTACCCGTGCTTAAATCTACCTGCTGCTGAAACTCTACTCCATGCCTGTACTACTTTTCATTTACATTATTCTGATGCCCTCTTGGCCAGCCTCCTATTTACAATCTTGCTTGACTTGAGCTGCTCAGTAATTCTGCTACTTCTATCCTAACTCTAACCAGGTTCGATTTACCTATCATTTGTGCGCTTGCTGATCAACATTGACTCATCATTTGGCAATGCCTCAATTTTAAAATTCTCATTCTTACAGTCTCACTTCTTTCTATCTCTGTAACCTTCTTCAGGCTAAAGAATCTACAAGGCCACCACAGTCTTCCTCAATACCAGTTTGCTTTGCCGCTGGCATCTGTGTGTCAGCTTTCGAATATCTCCTTAACCCTCCCATCTCTCTGCCCTACTTTCCTCCTTTTACAAGGCTCCATAAAATCTACTATTGCCTTTTAATATCTCCTTGGTCTAAAATATTGTTTTGTAATCACTCTTATGAAGCACAGTGGGGATCACAGTTATGTTAAAGACAGTCCATAAATACAATTTGTTCTGTGTGGATTATTTATCAATTTAAATCCATATTCTGCAGGAAATTGCAAAATCTATATTGATTTTGATTTTGATGTTATAGGCCCTTATGTCTTGACTAAATGTTGTTTCTCATTTTAATGCAAACTTGAGAAATGTTGCAAATATTGAAATTGTCATTATTGTTGTTTTTACGTACACTTCCAGGCAAGCTGGCCAGAAAATGGATTGCGGATGGCGGAACTGTACTTTGTAGCGAAAAAGCCAAATGAATTTGAGCTTCTTACAGCTGGACTTTGGATTCCATTTGTATGATTAACTAATCTTTGCATTGGTTTCTTCAATATAACTGAATATATGTTTTGAGAAGGCATTTGAAAGCATGGAGAAAGGAGGCAAAGAGGTATAGGAAAGGAATTCCAGATAGAAGTGATGATATAATTGAAATCTGGCATTCCTTTCATTTCACAATTGGTGTCAGAATTGGAAGAAGAGATTATGTCTTTTAGATTAGGATTGGGTAAAACAGCATAGAGATTTGCAGATGAGAATGAACTGGATTTCTTCTGGGAATAGGAAGTTGTAGTGAGCTGGAGTGGTCTGCACAGGTTCTACTGCAGGATAGGGAGCCGGCAATTAAATTTCAGATGAGCAGGAGTTTTGGAAGGTGGAGTTTTAAATTTGAATCTACAGCTGGAAAGTGGTTACTTGTGTGCAATTGAAGCAAGCAAGCACTGTTGAGGAGGTGGAAATAAATGAAAATGGTGCCAGTGAAACTGAACAATTAGTCGGAAAGCACATCTAGTTTATGTACAGTCTGGACAAAATATTTGTTCTCTTGAAAACTTAGTGTAGCAGGAGCATCACCTTAGCTTAAATGAAAGTACGTAACCTAGTCTTCTGGCCACTTTGGTTTTGATCCTAAAGAATGAGTAGGATCTTTACTATTCACATTCACATTCAAACAACTGTGTACCAAAAAACTGTGTTTGAATAACTCCATTGGCTGGACAGCTGGTTTGCAATGCAAGGTAATTCGAACAGCATAGGTTAGATTACCTTTAAAGTCTCTGCTACTCAGCCTCCCCCATCACCTGAGTCTTGGACCCTCAGATTAAACCACCAAAAGTCATCTTTCTCTAATGAGAGAGCCGTATGGTCCACAACAATTCTTACAGCTCTTGCAAGTAGTCTATTCCAAAGTGCAGCTTAAATAGTGTAAAACACAGAACTGAATATCTTTCCTGTTTTAGAGTGCTTCTGACCCTGCATGGTGTGATCTTATTTGAACATTTAAAGTACATTCTGCAACAAACGAAAATGATAATAGTTTCGGCATGAGAGAGCTTCTGAAATAAGCTTTAAATATTTCTGTCTGTTGGGATCAAGCTTTAGCTTTATTTTAACTTGTGTACCTTAATGTTAAAATTGGTTTGAAGTTCTGTGTTGACTGATAGTTCCATTTTTAAGACTTTGAGTGAATGCCTCCTTGACAATATGTGTTTAGTTTCAAGGATTAACAGAGGGTTACAGGATGGAGTGGATCTGGGTAGAATTCTCTTTGGAGGGTCAGCGCAGACTTGATGGGCTGTGTAGCTCGTTCTGCACTGTAGGGTTACTACTCTATGATTCTATGATAAATGCAAATTTACTTCCAAGCAGCTATTGGTACCAACATAGATTATCAGCAATGTTAGTTACAAGGAGGATGATGTTGGATGACCTTTTTCTAATGTATCAAGTGCATTAGTACATCCTATCAACTGAAATCCCACATTGGAAAATAATCAGCGCAAGCTAATATAATTAAATGCCCTCTGAATATAGAATTTTTATAGGGTTCCCTAATGGAAACCAAATTATGCATTCGCATACCAGAGTTAAGAGGAAAATGCTCCTGAAATTTTAGTTTTGTTAATAACATACATAGGGAACTATTCAGAGTGGATGGAATGTTTTATTGAATTACTATGCTTAGTGAGCTATGCTTTTTGTTACATGACACCTTTCAAAAACATCAGAACTGATTTTAATCAATTTTTTTGGGGAAGTGGAATTCCATTTTCTTCATTTCCATTGGAACCTTTTGTCCTACAAAATAAAACTGGAATTTTTGAAGGTAAGTTTAAATTCAGTGCAATAAATTTGCAATAAAAAATGTAGAGCATGAAATGGTTACAAAAATTTTCTGGCTTAAAGTGGAAAAATGTTTCTATGGACATTCAAAGTGTATAATGCAGCAAGAGTGTAAAGGCACTTTTCACTGCTTCCATAAATTGGATTGAAGAAGCTCTGAGCAGCTTATCACCAAATTTGTTTTTGGGTATCTGCACCATCTTGTGCACCACTAAAGATCAGAAAGTCCCCATTTCAATCTTTATGCTTTGTGCAGAGTCAGTTGATTTTTCTAGGCAGCAATATGGCTGTTATTATTGATCTTTGCCAGTTATAAACAACCAGCCTAAAACAGTAAAACACTTGTACATTTCCATTCTAATGTGCGTTAGTGCCTTTATGAAAGAGGGAAATTATGTGGGGAGGAATGGGAGAGTAAACTTTAAAAAGATAACAGTTTTTGAATTTTGAAATGATTAAATAAATTGATTCAGCTTTTCTGTTTCATTTGTCTTCAATTCAGAAAAAAGACATGGATTGTGAGGAAGTGTACCAGTTAAAGATATTGGTTAACAATCTGCAGGAGCTCGTTGATCTCCACAGAAAGTATAACTGCAAACTGGCACTTTCAGAGTTTGAAAAAGTAAGTGGTTCATTACATGAAGTACAGGCCAGGAAAATGGATTGTTAATTTTGTATATCCAGAATTGGTACATTCGAACAATGTTGTAAGTAGAAAAGCGTTTTTCTGACTTGTTTGTCTTTATTGTAAAATATTTGCTAATACTTTTAACATAGGCTTAATACAGTACAATCCTTATACATTACAGATAAGCCTTAGTAACTGAATGTTCAGGTTATTTAAAATAGTTGTTGAGCACTGGATCAATCATCTGACACTAAATTCGGAGCAAAATGATCTTGTTTACAATTTTGTTAAATATTTGGTGCAAATTAATCATGCAATGAGCTGATGCCTACCCTAGTGAATAAAACTGTAAAGAATTTTAATCATATTCTTTTGAAATTACAATATCAGATTTTAAATTGTGTAATCAGTATATAACAAGATGATGTAACTGGAATTATACTTCCTTTTATATGTTATGCAATTTACCAAAAGCTAATAACTTGATTTGCTTATTAGGAAACTACAGCAACAATTGTATTTCGCATGTTGGATAGGGTTCTGGCTCCAGAGCTTATTCCATCAACCCTTGAAAAGGTTATACAGCCTTATATAGCAAGGCACAACTTACAGAAGGAAGAGCTGCTGTTGCATTACATAAAGGTGACTACTATTCTACAGTGACTTTATGACAAAAATAATCAAAGTTGCAAATGCAATAGCTAATTGGTAATGTGATTTGTTGTCAACTGTTTAACTGGAGAAATATGTTTTAAAAATTAATAACTCTGCTAGTAAAAGTATTAGGAATCATACAAAAGTGGTTGCAGGGAGTTGAATTTTATTATCTTTAAAAAATACTTCATACAGAGTTCTGTAATTGTATTTAGTTAACAGTTATGCCCAATACAAGCAAAAGGTAAAATATTCCATTGAAAAAATAATGTAAGTGTAGTGATTGTTACAAAAGTTAGCCAAGTGGACCTCATAGAATAAGAGTTCCCTGATTGGAACTGTTGATCTGGTCCAATCAGACAGCCCTGGATGACAGATATGAACAAGGGTGCCAGAGGTTCTGTTCACACTGACAGCTGGCTCTAAGGGAGCTGGATCACAGTTAAGGAGTCTCTATGTGTAAAGAAAGGTGACTTGGTGATGGTCTCTATGGGGTTATTTCAGAAGGAATACATTCATTTTGAATTTCGGAGAGGAACAACATATTTTTAAATACTTTATTCCTAAAACTTTGCTCATGCTGTGTCTGTTCGTGGGATAATTAAAGATGAGGAAAGTCATTCATCTGTCATGGGTAATGATTCAATCTAATCTGCACCATCCAGTTGTTATATAATTGCAGGGATTTTGCAGCTAGTACTCCATGCCTAGGTTCATTCCATGTACTAGACACTGTGTAAAAATAGCTCATTAGTTTTAAATTTGGCTTCATAATATCGTAGAATATGTGATTCATTGCATGTGATCCATTAGCATTGAAAAATCTTTCTCTACCTTCGTATATGTTCTTGTATACTTCTCTCAATCACCTCTTCACGTTTGAAATGTTGTATTTTTCTGAGCATTTCCTAACCTCTGTCCTAGAATGCCTTGGAGGGTATTTCCTGAAAGACATTCTGCAATTGAATGTCTCCTTTTCATCTTTGATCAGAAGCGGATACTGCTGTCCAGTGACAGCAATGCACAGTTTGATGGAGTCTTTTTCTCTTTCACCAAGCAGTGGACACTTTGATGTTAGAAATATTTAATAAATTTTGGGAAAGCTGCCCTGCTCTTTTCATATTGTAACTATGGCTGGAATTTTGATGACCAGGTGGGGAGCTCAGTTGGGAAATTTATCAACTCAGCAAACACCATTTCCATAGAAATAGCCCCATCATCCTCTATTTTTGCTTCAGCAAGATGTAAGAAGGATGCAGTCAGACCTGATGACCCTCGAAGCAGTTTGGATGAATCACATGACTGAGGTGGGCTGGCTAGAAGGCTTATCCTGGTTTCCTGGGACTTCAACTGGGAATGAGAAGGGGCAATCCCAGAAGTTGGTCCCATACACAATTTTAAAGGCCTTTGGAGTTGGCCTGACTTTGTGAAAATCAGGTTTTTTGTGCATTAAACTACGTACTAAACTGCGCTTTCGTGTCGGTGGGCAGTGTTTGTGCTTTTGAACAGACAAAGAAACTGGGTTTTTAGAACCTTTTTTTTGAGCTAAAATTACATTTTTGTGAACCCATTGGAAAAGTAGGTCTGCCATCTAATAGCCTTTTTCTTTAGTATTAGAATAGTTTCAAAACCTTGGTAAGATGGCTATTCTAGCTGAAGGTTTCCACAGTAGATGAAGACCACTTGAATTGTAGCTGAAAATCCTGTAATGTGCATTCTAGTCCACAAGTTAATTGGAGGCAAATCGTAAACCTCAAAGTGTAAGTCAAATATAGAGGCTCAGAAGGAGTAAAAGTGGAATTTTTTTTAGGGTGTCTGACTTCACTTACTGGGAAAGATTCTGGATTCCAGCTGCATTTCAGAATGAAGCTTCAATACCAGCCTAGCATGACATTCATTTGACATTTTGAGTGCTGTGACTCTTCAGAAAAAGACTCAAAATGTTAACATTTTCTCTCCATGGTTGTTATTGAGTTTCTGCTGTATTTGCTATTTTTCTATGTTTCAGATCTTGAACATCCTCAGTTCCTTGTTTTATATTATTGTGAAATTGATTTGTACAGTTTGTAGACTTGTGGTGTGCATGTAGCTCCTGCAGACAATTGTAAGTCTGGTTTTCTTGATGTAGCTTGTATTTTACAGTTTTCAAATGGAATATATCCTTAATGACTAAGATGCCTAAGTAACACATTACTGTCATATTTTCGACAGGATTTGCTAGAACGATGTAGTTCACGTTCAGCCTCTCTCTTTGAAACTGCATGGGAGGCCAAAGCCATGGCTGTACTGGGCTGTATGACTGAAATTGATGTAGGTATCCAATGCACAACGTTATGGTACACAAGTAACTTTCTTTTATTATTGTTAATGGAGAGAGAAAAATGAAGTGATGTAATAATGTGAAGTATGTGTCCACAAAGGCAAGATAACTCTGCTAGTGCAGAGGAGCTTGGGAGCATTTTGACCCTCTGTTCTGTGGGTGCTATTTGATGGATTGGAATAACACTGGAATAATTTTAGTTGTTAATGACATTATCATTTTTTTTAGATTTTGTGCTAGTAGTTGGTAATGGTCATTTTCCTTCACAGCTAATCTTTGACGCAGTGCTACAGATAATGTATGGAGCAGTAGTGCCTTGGAGCAATGCAGTGGAACAGCTTGTCAAGCAGCATTTGGAAATGAATCATCCCAAGTATGTTTCTTTTCAGAATTAAGGTGAATTTAATATGGTTGCATTATTTGAGACTGTGACTTTGAGGTGATACTCATATAAAATTGTAGTGACCCAGCGCTATCCTGGCTGAAATGAGCTAATTCACCATCAGAGTGAACATTCTCAGTATGATTTTTAGGCAGTCTTACCTGGATACTGAACTGAAAGTTTCCAATACTGAATTGAATATTTTGATGAGTTAATTGTGGAAATGAAGGAGGCATGTAGCAACAATGGGAAATGTTTAGGCTTTGAAGCCAATGGAGTGATTTGACCACAATTTTGAAAAGTTTTGTGGTACAATACCCAACACTGCTGCCCTCCCACCACAGGCACCACTGTGGGGTTGCAGGATGAACAACAATGCTGGCTGTGAAATGGAGACTTGCATTTGACATTCCTGGGATCGGTGACAAGGTTTCTTTAAATGTGTGGGGTTTTGTGCCTCTTGGCATGGCCTACTCCATGAGCTGAGAGGTGCAATCACTGACACCATCAGAGCCTCCAAAATGCTAGGTGTCTCAGTTGGTCTTCGTGCGTGTATCCCAGATATTATATCTACCATCCTGCTCAACAATTCTACCTGCCTCGGCCCTCAATTTTCACTCCAGGGTTGTATAAGGTGTAAAGTTTTAAAGTGGGTTCACAGCAAAAAATTGTTTGGAAAGAACTGGCTTTTAACATCTAATCAATACATTTCCCATTGCTGCCTTCCGTGTGAATCTATACAATCTATCAAAGCATTAATTGTGACTTCAGACCTTATCTAAAATGTTTGATAAATAACCAATGATGTTGTTGTTAGGGTGAAGTTGTTGCAAGAAAGCTACAGGCTTATGGAGATGAAGAAATTGTTAAGAGGTTATGGAATACGGAACTTTGACATGTTCAATGATCATGAGATAATGGTAGGATTGTAAATTTAATATATTGTTATAAACAAATTATATGTGAACATGTTGATAGGTTTAGATTCGGAATAAATTACAGTTGCAGAAACAAAGTTTTAAAATCAAAAATAAAACTTGGTCGGAGTCATGTTAGGCATTCCATTCTTGTACAGGTGCTCAGGTTGTAGCATTTATACATTGATTTGTGTTATTTTGATTTTCTTGCCATTCTTCAGTCACCAAGTATCGAGCCATGTCTAAACTTCTTATGTTGTTATTTTATACAGATTTATTTTGAAATTTAAATTTAATATTTAAGGATTACTTTTAGGATATTGTCTTCTATTCATGAAGAATCAAGTAACTCCTGCCTTACATCAAGCCCTAATATATTCTTTTAGTGTCTATCTTTAAATATGAAGGATGTCACTTTTGACGTACCTTGATTTTCAGTAATTATTGTAATCTGTTCTTTTGATCAGTGGTTGGTAAAGTTCATCTTGAATCAGGACCAGTCATCATCATTGGATGATGCTTTGAAAGTGGTTCATGCCTACCTGTTGTCTCCGGTTGAAGTCTATTTCCTCCACTTAAAACACTTAGCATCTAATGATGATGTAAGTATTCCTTTATGTGTTCACATTTGTGTCAACTGGTGTGGATTTCTGCTTGTCATAACTTTTTGGTAAATTCTAAATATGCAGGTATAAATATAAATTGGAAGAAAAACAATAATGGATAGTGTCAAAAGTTTTTCGGTCATAGTTGAATTTCCTCATCACCGTCCCTCATAATTTTTGATCAATTGACTTGTTAGGAAGCATTTGTCAAAAATTCTGTTTGGAGGTTTAGGTACATATATTGATGACCTGCAATGGAATATCCTCTCTTTTAGAGGGCAGGATACAATGTTGTCAAATGGGGAAGATGTCCAATTTGATTGGTATCTAGATGAATATTAATCTAGCCAGATTATACCAATGCATCCCTTTTAAAATGGAGAGAGCTAAACAATTTTTTTATTTGCTAGCCTGGAACATATCATTGTTTTGTGTTTAAGCATATGTTTAGGCAAAAAAATTAATTAAGTATTTAGGGCATTTAAGCAATATTAAATATATTTTCCAGTGAACAGGAAATTTTAAATGTTCTTCCTTAATATTTTAAAAATTAGATTCTTAATAAATTTTGAGTGAAGGCAGATTCAGACCTGGACTTTGAGAGGAAGAAGTATTGTAGTTTTAACTGTTTGTTACATATCAATAAAGTTATTCCATTAATCTTAATTTATAATCCCCTTATAATGGCATACTATTTTATAATGTGGCTAGATTCTAATACGTGTAGCAAAAGCCACTAAATTTCTATGCCTAAATATCATGGACTAATATAGTAGAGAAACAGACTCTTTGGTCCAACTCCTTCATGCCGACCAAGTTTCCCAAACTAAACTAGTCCCACTTGTCTGCATTTGGCCCACATTCCTCTCTAAATTTTCCCTAATCATGTATCTTTCTAAATGTCTTTTAAATGTTGTAATTGTACCTCATCTACCACTTCCTCTGGCAGTTCATTCCATATGTGTGTGAAAAAGTTGCTTTTTGGGTCCCTTTTAAATCTTTCTCCTCTCTCCTTAAAAGTATGCCCCTAGTTTTGAACTTCCTCACCTGGGGGAAAAGACCTTTTGCTATTCATTGTATCTATGCCCCTCATGATTTTATAACCTCTATAAGATCACCCCCTTCTAAGTTCCAGTGAAAGAAGTCCCAGTCTATCCAGTCTCTCCTCATAACTCAACACCCTCCAATCCCAGCAATATCCTGATAAATCTTTTCTGAAATCTCTCCAATTAATTAATATCCTTTCTTGAGTCAAACATCCAAAACTTGGGCATGGACCTTGACCCATCTTGGACTGAGATGTTTTCTCTGACAAGGACTGATTTTTTCCCTTGACCTTCAATTGAATTTTACATCTGAGACATGTCAGTCTGACTCTGAATCTCCTTTGCTCTGGCTTCAAGCATGTTGTGTGGAGTACTCTACTTGTATTCCACCTTTCCAAGTCATCAGACTCATTTGATTCTTCACAACTCTCTTCATAAACTTCTGAAGATAAAACATGATCTATATGTACAAACCTAACCTTTCCAACCACCAAACATCATCACTGAATATGTGTGAGGACTATATATTTTCACATGTCTCTCTGGCAGCCACTTCAGCCATCTGTGGTGTTATCCTTTCAACTAGTTAAACTTCAGACTTCTTTCTTTCGCTCACTCCACCCCTTTAATGACCCCTTTTCTGTCAGGATTGTTTTTATTCTGCTGACTGCTGATGTTGCTTCTGCAATCGAAACCTCATTCAAGTCTGCCTTTTAAAAAACAATTCAGCTGGCATTCTACCTATGGTATTGATGTGTCTTAGGTTAAACAAATAAAAAATTGTCTATTTGTGATTCAGTGGTATCTAAATGTTTCTTTCAGTTTGTATCTAGCATTCATGTAACAAGCACACACTTAATGATTTGTAGTGTGCCCCTTTTTCCTCCATTCAAAGCAAAATAAAAACTAATGTGTTTTGTCTCATTTGATCTCGTGAGATCTGAAAACTCCTGAGTCAAAACTCAGGTCTGTTGTTTCCTCTGGGAATTCGTAAGCAGCAATCAAACATCCCTGTGGAAGGAACAGATGCGACAGGGATGGAGAAACTGGGACAAAGGAATGATGTTCTTACAGAAAGCAGGATGTGAAGTCTGTAAAGATTTATTAATTGTTTGATTCATGAGAATTGCAATTCACTTCAAATAGCTCTCTATTGCAATGAATAGCTTTTATCTTTCAAATTCTGCAACATTAATATACAGCCTTTGCCACACTTAACTTGCATGGTTTGCAAAGTTACCAAAAGTGGCTTCTTTACTACCCCCTGACATACTCTTCATTGTTTCACAGCGTTGTCTATGTCCTTACCTAATTCTGCTCAACGAAGATAGCTTCTCGCTAGACTCTTTGTCAAACTCAGCCCCAAATGTTGTTGATGAAGATCACAAAAGTGAGGAGGGATGATTGGCGTTGTTTCTTGTTTCATGGTTGTTCATAACAAATATCTGTATTTCTTTTTTAGCAAGTAGCTATCACACTTTGATTAAACTAAGTTAACCAGATCAAAACACGAGGAAAGCTAATTCCAAGGTTTTCTTGAGTGAAGGAGAGTAGAGTTTTATTGTCTAGTAAACTCGAGAAAAATAAGAAAACACAACATCAGACACGTTCACACAAATGGGTTAAAAGCTTACAGTGAAGGTGGAAAGGATTTGTCATGCAGACAGAAAGTAAATACTAATGCAGCTGAAAGTTTTTTTTTAAAGAATCTTTGCTTTGTGAGAATGAAAAATGAATCCAACGATTTAGCAGCTAAAACACTCAAAACTATACCATACATCCTTAACATATTCTACTATACATCCTCACATCCTGCTTTCTGTAAGGATACCATTCCATACTCCCAGTTTCTCCATCCCTGTCGCATCTGTTCCTTCCACAGGGATGCCTCAAGAAATGTTCACCTTTTTTCTTCAACTGAAGATTTCCTGCCACCTTGGCTGACAGCCCTTGACTGTGTCTGACCCATTTCCTGTACTTCTGCCGTCAGCCCTTCTCTTCCCTCCCACAACAACAATCCCCCCGGTCTTCACCTTTCCATTCTACTGGCCTCTGCATCCAAAGGATCGTAACCTGCCGTTTTCACTAGCTCCAGTGATATGACATCGCCAGACTCTCATTCGCCTCTCATCAGCGTCCCTTAGGGACAGTTCCTTCCACCTTGCCCTGGTTCACTCCTCCATTCCCAACACTTCTCACCAAACCCACAGTACTTTCCTGTACAACCACAAAGGGTGCAACATTTGCTTGTTTATATACATTCCAGGTGAGGCTGTGATTTTCCTGTACTTAACTCAATCTCGACAACTCTATTTGCTTCTCATAATGTGGTCTTCTCTACACTGGGGAAATGAAACATGGACTGGGTGACCGCTTTGTGGAACACTTACACTGTCGGTATAAATTATCCCAACCTTCCAGTTGCCTGCCACTTCAACACACCACCTTAGCTAACGTTTCTGTCTCCGGCCTGCTGCAGTGCCCTGGTGAGATTCAACACAAGCTGGAAGAGCAAAACTTAATCTTTCACTTGGGAACTTTACAGCCCTTCAGGATTCAATATCAAGTTTAATTGTTTCAGAGCATGGCTACTTCCTTCCATGCCCATTGCCCACCCTCAAATCTCAGGTCCTGTCATGAAATGGGTTGTTTTCAGCACAGCCAACCCATTTTCACCCACTCATAACTCCCATTATCACTCGTCTAGCTTCTTTTCTTCCCTGGCTTATTGTCCCAATCCCTTTGTCTGCCTAACTTTTTTTCTCTTGAACTATGGGCTCCCTCTCCACTTACCTGCTCCTTTCCTGCCATTACCATGAATGCCACCTTTCCTCTCTGCTATTAATTCTGAAGAAAGGTCACTGAACTCAAAACATTAACTCTACTTTCTCTTCACAAATCTGTAGCACCTGCTGAGTTACTCCAGCAATTTCTGATTCTGTGTGTTTCACATTTCCAGCAACTGCAGTGTCTTGTCTTATTTATTTAGCTGGTGTCTTATTTGTTCCACAATGGCAAACCTGAAATTCTCAATAAATCATGATTATTGTTCCAAGTTATTTTTCATCCGCTATTTTCTAAGCTTGAGAGGAATTGTGATAGAGATGCAGGGAAGGAAAGAAGAGCTTTCAGTATCTTTGCTTTTGTTAGTCCATGTTGCTTTCTGTGTCCTTTGCTCAAAGGCTGCTCTTGAGATACTGTTCATTTTGCAGATTCTGTTTTAGTGTGTCATTGTTTTCTTCTAAGTGCAACAAATGTAGGCTCGCTAGAAGCTTATTCAAGTCTAATTTCTTTGAATAGGGACATTTGCAATTGCACCTTGTTGCCAAAGTTGTGCTACTAGTCGAGAGAGGCATCTGGAGGCTTTTAATATCTAAACTTCGTCTCTCTCATCTTCTGCCCTGTTTTATCTCATCTCAATGCCCCAAATGACTATCCTTACGGTTTCAACTTGTATTTATAATTTTAAAAAGAAATGACTAAACATGCCTGCCTTTTTCCTCTTTTAACAGAGAGATAGCTGCCTCAGTTTGCTGAAGTCTCTTACATTGGAGGAAGCTGAGAGCACCATAATGCGTTTAATCACTTGGGCACAGTTGAAAATCCAAACTCAACCTGAAGATCCTGAGGTAAGATCATGATGATAATTCCTTAAGAAATGTCATCTTCTGTTCTTATATGATGGAATGAGATTAACATTCTGATTATAAACAAAGTGCAGATTAAATATTATATCATGCATAGTTATTTTGGTGCTGTGTATCTTCAGAAATGGTCATCTTTCCCTTTCACCCAGGAGGCATTAGATGCCATCTGGGATATGGTGCCATAACTGATGACCTTCTCTGCTACCTTGCTCAAACTTTTATCCAATTTGAGCTTTGTTGAGCGTTGGTAAAATATTGGATGATGGGATGAGCAGTAACTCAGATTTGTACCTTTATGCTGTCTTGCAATATGAATGCTCATATACTTTTTGAAAAGATCAATACGTAACAATCGCAGCTGATTTTACAAATCTCGCTGAAGCTATTGATGGCATCCCCTACTGCTGTTCTGACTGCTCTGAAAATCTGTTTCATTATTTTAAAAAAAAGTAAAGATAATAAGAACCAAGGAATAGGAATAGACCATTTAACCTTGCAAGTCTTTTCAGTCATGCATCTGTGACCTATCTCAAGAAACTTTTCTTTGCCTCCTGTCACTTAATATCTTTGGTTAACAAAAATCTGTTAATCTCAGACTTCAAATTAATCATTGAGATAGCATCAATTGTCATTTATAAAAGATAATTCCAAATTTATACCATTCTCTTAGAAATATTTCCTCATCTTCTTGACAGATTTGACTCTAGTTTTTAGACTGTCTTACTTGTAAAAGTAAAAGTATTTGTCTGTATAACAATGTATGAATTCCATTGACTGATTTGATATTGTTTATATTTTAGTGGAAGAAGCATCTGGTGTCAGTTGCAAAGACAATCGTGGAGATTATTAAATTTTTGCTGAGGAATCAAAAGGGTAATGTTTCTGTTGTTTTAGACATCTATAGCTAATATTAAATTTACATTGCATTAACATGAATTGTTTTGCATTTCAGGAAATACTGTACAAAAGGAAACATATGAAAACTTTTTAAATAAGTTTGAAACAATTGCAAATTTACAAGTAAGTATTCTGTAATATTGTTGAACGTATGCATCAAAAATATTTGGATTTACTGATTTAAATTTAACTGAAGTTCTGCTTGAAAATTTCATTCAAATTTCTAGTGGTCAAAACTCCTGAGGGTTCAGCACAATATCACTCAGACATGATTTGGAAATGATCAAAACTAATATGATAGAATGTATCATTGAAGTTGAGTTTAAGATATCTAGTTTGATATTAATGTATAATAGAGATTCAGCCAGAAGACGATTCATTTATGCTGACCATGGTGAATTTGGAGTGTGAATTCTGACGTTAGTTGCTCAAAGTGAACATTGGTATCATGTTGTTGATGTGGCTTGCAATTTTAAGCAAATCCAATATGCTTTATCTGTGTCTTCATGAAGTTGTCTTTCCATGCTCTCAGAATATCTCATGGCATGGAGGGTCAACAAGCTTTTTGAAGTGAAATCACTATTTGCACTTGAGAGAACAGGGAAGACACTGCAAGGGCCCACAAATATTCAATGTGGGGAGCTGGTGGACTAACGCTAATGCTAACCTCACTGCATTATTAAATGAGAAATCAGACTAATATTCTGGGGACATGCATTTAAATCCTACCATGGAATGTGATGAAATTTCCTTCTTTTTTTGAAAGGAAATCTGCCATCCTTACCTAACCTGGTCAGACTCCCAGCAATGTGGATCTTAACAGTCCCCTGAAATGGCCTAGGAAGCCACTAAGTATCAAATTACTATGAAGTCTAAGTAAAGGAATGAAATTGGACAGAACACCTGACAGCAACGTAGGCTCCAGAAGCTACAATGACAAGCACAATCCTGTCAACCCTGAAAAGTCGTCTTTACCGACATCTTGGAGCTTGAGCCAAAATAAGTTGCACTGGGAACCATTAATATTGACTCCAACCACCATGACATTTCATTGCATCAAATCAAACATGGGCAAGGAAACGTTCTGCTGATTACCATGTACTGTCCTCGCCTCCGCAAAAGAATAAGTACTCCTTAATGAACAAAAACAGAAGTTGCTGGAAAAACACAGCAGGTCTGGCAGCATCTGAAGAAAAAAAAAATCACAGAGTTACCATTTTGGGTCCGATGACCCTTCCTCAGAACTGATGGTAGCTAGGAAAATATCGGTTTATATGCAGAAGATAGAGAGGGGTGTGGGAAAAGGAGTAAACAATAGGTGGGGATAGTGCCCAAAGAGACAAAGAAGATGATAACGATCTGGCTAGGAGGGTTAATGGAGACTGTTAGTAGGTAACAATGGGTAGTGTGTAATGGCAGACTATGTGATAACAAGGCCTGGTGTGTGGGGTAGAGGGCTAGGACATGGGAGAGTTCAGGCCCTAAAATTACTGAACTCTATTGAGTCCGGGGGGCTGCAGGGTCCCCAAGCGGAAAATGAGGTGTATTCTTCCAGCTTGCGCTGAACTTTGCTGAAACACTACAGCAAACCTGAGACAGAAATGTTGGCCAGGCCACAGGGTGTTGTGTTAAAGTGGCAGGCAATTGGAGGCTCAGGGTCTTTTTTGTGGCTAGAACGTAGATGTTCTTCGAAGCAGTCACCCAGTCTATGCTTCGTTTCCCCAATGTAGAGGAGACCGTGTTGTGAGCAGCGAATGCAGTAGACTAGATTGTGGGAAGTGCAGGTGAAGTGCTGCTTCACCTGGAAGGTATATTTGGGCCCATGCATGCTGAGGAGGGAGGAGATAAATGGGCAGGTGTTACACCTTCGGCAGTTGCAGGGGAAAGTGCAATAGTGCTGTGGGAGGCTGTGGAAAGTGAAGGAAGAGTGGACCAGGGTGTCCCAGAGGGAACGGTCCCTGCGGAAGGCAGACACGGGAGGGGAGGGGAATATGTGTCTGCTGGTGGCATCTCGCTGGAGGTGGCAAAAATGGTGTCTGGTGATCTTCTGGATGTGGATGCTGGTGGGATGGTAGGGAAGGACAAGGGGAACCCTATTGCTGTTATAGGCGGGAAGAGAGGGTTGACGGTGGGAGTGCATGAGATGGGTACTCCTCCATGTTGAACACGACTTGGAGAAGGCACTGAATACCAGTTCACTGTAGTGATAGCAAGAAACTGCTGAAGGTACTGAATACTAAAGGTACGATGCTCTACAACTAGTCACACTAGCCAGACCTTTCCAGTACAGCTGCAACACTGGCATCTATCCAGCGCTTTTGAAAATTGTC